CATAGGCGAAAATATTCATAGTTGAACATTTTAACGTATGATATGTTCCTTTCGATCAGTTTGCGTAGCTTGATTATTCTGCACTTGCTATGTTTATATTTTCTAATATTTTTTTCTCGGAAATGTTGTTATTCCAATAATAAGTAATTTCTAGTGGTAGAGCTAATTGAGTTACATGAGTTCAAATCGCACTCAAAAAGATATAGGTAGTTTCTTCATTTACAGCAGCTACGGCGCTTGTCCTAGAGGCACCTTATTTTGAGAAATCTGGTGTTTTCATTCCAAGGCCTTGCAATTTTATCTCTCCATTCAAATGTAGCGAAGGGACGGGAATATGGCTCTTAGAGGTGGTACTTTTGAAAGCGTATGATGTAGTTCTGGTTTTCTGTGCAGGCTCTCTCCGGGCAATGCTGTTCCTTGTTTAGATAGTCGATCATAAAAGTGCGACAGAAATGAGAGTTTGCCTGTTGAATCACTTGAAAACTGCCAGTCGGTGTTGGTCGAATACGTAAGCTGACATATTATTTTCAGCGTTGCGACTTTGAATGCTGCTGCTCAACGACTAATGCGTGATGATCATAATGCTGATGCTTTGGAGAAAATGAATCAGATGAATAGGGAGTGGGAGGAGCTCAATGATGTTTTGCAGAAGTTGATCCTACAGATGGAAAGAGTAAGTACATCTTTATCTTACGTGGGATTTTGTCGAAGGCACGTTATGTTTAGGCGAAGACGGAAGCTGAAAAAGTGGGGCGTGAAGCTGAGCAATGGATGGTGTGGTTGGAAGATGTTGAGTCTCAACTAGCAACTACTAAACCTACAGGAGGCCTTCCAGAGACAGCGGAAATTCAGCTTGACGATTTTAAAGTATTGCGCTCAGAGGTACGTTTTGTCATTTTTCTGCAATCGAACATGCTTTTTGCATAAATCGCTCATGCATTCTGAATCACTAGAGTTCTGAGATGTTAAAAACGTCGATCACTGACTAAATTGATCTTGCTAGAAATTTTACCTTTTAACACTTGCAGTATAATAATTGATGCTAGAAATTTGTGGCGCATTACTTTTCTTAAAGTAAGGCCTTACTATAAAGGTTTAGAGAATATTTTAAAGAAGTTCATGTTATGTTCAAAAGCCCTCCATGGCTTTAAATACAATTTTTTATTTCTTCTCTGCTGCATCCCGCTATGCAACCTGCCTTGTGTTCAGTGTCACAGCGTGGAGAATGGTTACTCCTCAGAAGAGATAACTCGACAAAGCTTAAAATCTCTTTGCCATATACTTATGTATGATCGACGCTCAAACCTTTTTGAAGAAGTACGAATTTTCCAAAAGTAAAATCACAAAGGCTTACTTTTTTCAACTCTTATGTTTCTTTCACTTCAAGCAGTTTTTTTGAGTATTGTTGTAGTATTCGACATTTCTGTAACGTTCCTAAAGATAGCATTAATTCAGAGCAGATATTGTCTGCTTTCATTGTTTGCACTCCCTTATTAGCTTTTTTTGGCATGATCATTTTTGTGAGGAGTGCCGCAGTGTTCGCACTTCGACTCTCAAAATTACTTCGCGGAAGTTTTTTCTTTTAGATTGCTCAAAACAAAGCAGCTCTTGAAGCGTATATTGATGACGCGAACAATAATCTCTGTGATAATGAGAACAATG